TTTTACAATCCATCAAGTACAAGTGGAGTTGCAGCAATTTGTCGCATGTTTTTTCTCTCCTTTTGTACGAGCAAGTGCATTGAAAGCTTTGCAAGGGGGACGACGTGTCGTGACCTTGAGTACTTCTTTCCTTGAACATGCCTTACTTTTATTATAATCACTAGAATGCAGCATAGACTGCTCAAGTCAGCCAATGGACTTCATGTTTGTGGCATCATTTGCCGAAAGAAAAATGAGCGGTTTCTGGCTGCCTTTGAAAATTAATTGTGAATTCTGGGCTGTGCGCTTCACTGTATTGTTTGGCTTGTATGTTCTTGGTTGCTACCAATCAGCAGCATTTTCTGGCCAAGCAAACTTAAGATGTGATGCAGGGCTCCTTTATGACTGCTTACTTTATCAGCTAACCATATTGAGGAGAACACTGAAAAATAACGAGTGAATTTGAGTACTCATGATGTAAGCTTTCGCTGCTGAAATAACTTTTGCAGTTTACAGACTTGATGACTTTATTAACTCGTAATATCCCAGAGTCTCCAGAGGAGCGTGAAATCTTGTCAGAGGCATTTCTGTATAATATTCCTGTATCTGAAACAATGAACGTACGGTGCCTGTAGGAATCATTTGCACTTATTGTGCATGTTGAGGAGAACATGTTGCTGACACATATAGAGGCCAATACAGCTGCTGTCTGAAAGGAAAAAAAAAACACAAAAAAAACACAAGATGTCATTACTGTGGGAAGACAAAAAATTATTCATGAATTTTTGGAAACCCAGAATTTATATTAACAAGGAAGTTAATGTGGAAAAGAAACTGATACGGCACAAAACGGGATAACCTGTAACTGCTAATACTAATAGAATTGTTGGGGTTCAACATTCTAAAACCACAATATAATTGTGAGGGACACCATGGTATGGGTTCCAGAAGCTGTCACAACCTCGGGAACGTGCCTCTAAATGTAAGCACACGGGCCTCAACCATTTTTACTACCACCGCAAGATGTGACTGTTGCAGATGGGATTCGATCCCATGACATTCGGGCAACTTTCAATTCTAAGTGTAAATTAACAAGCATCTGGAGCTGCTGAAGTATCACTTTGGAGCAGTATAAGACATTTCTTAATGAAGAAATTTTTAAGCTGCTGCAGTTGTGCCAATACCATAATAGCCCAGAAGATTAGATGAAGTTGCTGTTTTTCATTTACTTAGTTTTTTTATGATGTTTTAGTTATAATACAAGAAGCACAAGCCAGGCACGAACAGTGTTAATTTTCCATGCATTGTGTTTGCTATCGAGTATGACTTGGGCCTTCACTGCATGGTGAAGGGCCTGCTGTTATGCTTAGTGGAAAGACCTAATAAAGAGGCTCTTGAGGTTCAAGGGTGGTTAATAAAATACATGATGTACAGGTCTCTCTGCAATTTCCCAGACCACCTCAGTACATAAAATTGTTGATTAAGTCTGGCGGTAATATGGTCAGACTTAAGAATTAAGCATGTTGCATGAACATTTTAGTGCTTTACACTATACTTTGATACAAATTTCTCATTTATCTGCTATGTAATTCATAGCGTGTAATTCACCCAGCGTTGATCACCTTGTTTTGCAGCACATGCCAAAACAGAGATCTAAGACAATGCTGTTTGTTCGCATGAGTGATTTCATTTCTGTGACAGGGAATTTTGGCACAGTTAAGAGTTGAGTTGCACAAGCTGTGATGAAAGATTGTACAAAAGTACAGTGCGACAGTGTGATGTTGAAAGTGCAAGAAAATCTACATTACAGTGCTAGAAGAGGACTACGGTGGCAGGAGGTTAGACAAGGGAGAGAAGAGATGCAGCCCATGACAAGGTTGTCAGGTTCTAGACTGAAACGCAAGAATGCTGGAATGCTGGCAACGTCAGAGATCCCCGATGTTCTCAAAAGATTCTGGTGCACATGGATTTCAGGTGCTCCTACTATTGCAGCCACTGGTACAAGAAATTCCTGGATTTCTTCGTGGCGGATGGACTTGACTGTCAGAGTTGGCGACATGTTAGCCTTATTGGCTGTGGGCCACGGCACCACTCGGGTGCCAACTGAAAGCCACCGTGACAGCTGCGTAGATAGATCATGTTGATTTTATTGGGAGACTATCTGCCTAGCAGGACTAAAAGCTGCCGACTGTGACATTGTGTGTAGACTGAATGCTTTTTTTTATATTACATCACTTAATTGCAGTGCCTTGTTAATTTCATTAGTTTGTATTAAGCTCACTTGCTGTTCTTTTTGTCAATCGTTCTTCCATCAAAACAAGGTGTATTTTTACTGTAAAAACTGTGTGTTCTTGTATTTAGTTGTTCGCTCACTTCAACGAGGCAATACTGCACAAACATATCATCACAAGGCGTATAGTTGTATATTACAATGCTGTACGTGTGCATAGGATTTTGTGTAGGCATCTGCATAAGTGCCTGTGCATAACTAAAAAGAGCTGAAAGGGAACAACACCAGTGCTTGTTGCTAGTTCTGTCCTCTGTTTGCATCAGTTTTCTCAGGCACTATGCTGTTGTTCGTTTCACTTTTATCTTTTGGTTTATGAGAAGTTCGTGCTGAAATGTTATTCACTTTTTTTTTTCTTTTTGTCAGCCAAGTGTTATAAAAGTTAAGTTCATTGGACTTGTGCTGATGCTTTCTAGTCAAATACGTACTTCATGTGAGAGAAGAAAGTCCTAGAGTTTTTGTATGTCTAAAGTAGTGGTATGGTATTTCACATAGCAAAGGAATGCTACATGGGACACTCATGTGCACCATTGTATTGATGTCTCTGAAAAGTGTATGTTGTATTTTATTTTGTTATGAACAATACGGTGAACTAGCAATTGTGCTTTCACTTAGATAATCAAAAAGTACTGCTTTGTCTGGTATATAGTAACAAGAATTCACTTAAGCATTAAAATGTCCCGAGGACTTCTGTGTAATGAGGTTCCCCAAATTTAGTTGCAAATACAAAAAAATCCAATCTACAGGAAATTAATTTTACATACTCAGTAAGGTATCTCAGAAGAAGCTAAAGTAAGTACTTTTCGCTAGTTTTGATAACCTATATTAGATTTCGATGACATGTTAGTGGCAAAAACCACACAAAGCTACTCCACAATGTAATACGTTCTACATCTTGCCCTCAAATTTAAAATTTAAGTGGTGATCTTTGTTCTAAGAATTCTTTAACATAGAATTCTAGGTTAACTTCAGCTGTGACATCACAAGCAGTAAATGATGTCTGCAATATCTGTAACATATTTTCTACAATGCTTTCAGTATCACTTATGTAGAGTACATATAGCACACGAGAAACATGCTTGATAGTTACTTCTCATGCAACTGCTTTGCTGTGTGTACATCCATAATAGAAATTCACAAAGCAAAGTCCTCTGCTTTATTTACAATATATGGCATCTGAACTTCATGAACCACATACAGATGTGTGTTCCATTGTAAATAAGTTATGCAGACTGTGTAAGTCAACTTTTAATTTTTTTGTAATAGAGGTGGCCTAGAGAGTGCTTTGGAGGAGGAACTTTACACATTGTGGCTGATAGATTGCTTTTTGACAGAGCTTAGTAAAACACCACATTATCAAAATACATGTGGGCAAGACAAACGAATGAAAAATTGTTCTTGATTCAACAGCACAACACTGCTTTAGGAATAAAAAAAAATACACCTACGCTGGAGTATCAAAAGCATCTTGTATTGTTTAATAATGGAAGTTCTTTAGCACTACCTAGTATAAACATAAGCCTTAGCAATCATGCTGAATTGATTGATATGAGGGTTTTAACGTCCCAAAACCACCATATGATTATGAGAGACGCCGTAGTGGAGGGCTCCGGAAATTTTGACCACCTGGGGTTCTTTACGGGCGCCCAAATCTGAGCACACGGGCCTACACCACTTCCACCTCCATCGGAAATGCAGCCGCCGCAGCCGAGATTCGATCCAGCGACCTTCGGGTTAGTAGCTGAGTACCTTAGCCACTAGACCACCGCGGCGGGACAATCATGCTGAAAAACCAACTAAGCGAGAACATAATGCAAAATTTCAAAGATCACAGTGCTATGTACTAAGACACTGGTGCTGCAAGCTTAAAAACATTTATAGTGCTCAGGCACCTCTTTGCTGTTTTTTTGCATTCTCAGTATGTTTCAGAGAGACTGCCTGGCACACACTAACTGTGCTATCAAGCAGTGAACAGCACAAAGCAGCATTATACAGAGTGCAGAAACGATCACTGTCTTTCATTACTGGCTGACACTAGAGAGGGATTAAGTCTCAGTTGTCATCAGTCTATTTTAGCTCCTAAAACAGTATAACAAAATGCACTGCCTGAGGTGGCTGAGAGTCTCAAAATAAATTTGACAGAGATGGCCATGGTGACAAAGTAATCCAGTTGCCACTGAATATACGAACCACCTAGTTTAGCAACCTGCCTTTTTCATGATGCCACAATTCATGTGCCCTTCCCTCTGTGGAAAAGTTGCAAAATGCATTTTCATCTCGCAAGCTTTCGTATAGGCAATGGCAGTTGTCCTGGCCCCCGATAAAATAACAGGGCAGCCCAGCAAAATGTAAAAAGTAATTTGTCTTCAAAAGTGTTGTTTAGGAACAGGCAGTAAGTAGAAAGCGAGTTGCTTGAAACAGTGCTTCTATCCCCATTTATAACACATAGTGTTAGAGCACGAGCACCCCCTACCCTCCTCCTTTAAAGAAAAAAAAAGTAGCAGCAAAGATATAAGCGACCTACATCAATAGCAAAACTCTTGGGTCCATGGCCAAAAAAAATCTATGACCCAAGTATTTCACATTCTGGAGGGTCAGGTACAAGCAATAGAAAGAATTGGGGTAGCCCTCTCCTTTTGCAACTGCCATAGCAGTTGAAGAAGGGGGGGGGGGGCGCCATGAGTTCATTGTGCCCTTATAAATACCACCTAAAAAATACCACCAAAATCTTGTACCAACTATGGAATGTTTTATTTCCCAAATCTGCCTATGCAACACAACCGCAGTGCATAGATTGAGGAAGGAAGTGCTTGGCTTGAAAGGTTCCTGAATAAATCAAAATGCGAGCCATCACTTGCCTCGCACGTATTACATACAATTTCCCAAAACTCACATCACTGTCTTCAGATTGAGTAATAAAAATGATCCCATCACTGAGCAAAATAAATGAAATGTGGATATCGATTGATCATTTATTAATACTACTGTCCCTACATTTAGGCGTTGATCGGATATGAAGTCCAATGTTCAGTGCATCGGTGTGCTGCAGCCACTCCACTCGCCAGATTCATGTGCAGGCACACGATTTCACAGCTTGACATGTCACCAATTACCACGCCTTCATCCTACCACACAATAAGAAAAAAAATAAAATAAAAATTTGTGCACAGGCAGCCAAAATATGCTGTATGCTGCAAGTTCTCAATTATAGTAGCCATTACGTGCTTTCTACTCTCATTCTGTTCCAGCTATTACCAACAACACTACTTCACAAAGAAGTGTGAAAAATTGGCTGTGATGCCACTGATAATTACTATCACGGCCACATAAATAGGTCGCTTATTTTTTCTTCGTTGCTGTTACCACGTCCCATTGTTTGGGGCAAGCGAAGGACGGCCAGTCGGTAGACGGCGCATGACGAAAAGGGAAGATAACGAAAAGTGGCTGCGCAGACAAAATACTAAGCCGTTCACCTCTGCACGCGACTCTGTTACCAAACCTCAAAAGCTTTTGTTCACTGCACCTGTGCTGGTGAGTCATCCGCACGGTGGAAGCGTTCCCACGGTGAACAAGACTAAGAAACAAGTGATCCCTGTTGCGACACCACTCCCGACAGGATAATGTGGTGGCATGCTGTCACAATAAGTGTGGACAGATGGCAGCATCGCGTGTACTAACTCCAGACAGTCAACCGGCTGTCTAGACAGGCTTGTTGTTGCAGGAAAGTACTTTAAGCTGTACGTTGACGAAATGACGGAGTTCTTTTTTAGCCATGTTCTTGGAGGATGAGGATAGCAAAGTATGGGAACGCATAGACACATCTCTGAGGAAAGGAGAGTAGTTTGCTGCATTGGCAAAGCATCGAGAAGGGGCTCATCCCACGAGGCGGTTTCAGACCAGACAGGAGGTATTTAATGGAGAGAAATGAAGAGGAGGGGAGCTTGGTGCTAGAGGACGAGATCGGGAAGCTTAGACAAAGGTCGTGCTTGGCGCCGACTCTGATACAGGGGTGATACTATATTGAGAAGTTGGACATGTCGATGTGTGCAGTATACTAGGGGCTCGGCAAGTAACGCCGATGTTAAGACAGCCCAGTGCTTGCTCTGCGGTCAGTTTAGTCGCCACCCCGGCCTTTGATTGTGAATAAGTGTCAGTGTGTAAATAAACTAAGGTTTGCTAAGAAATGAGCAATCGGGCCTGTCCAGTCCTGCAACGTGTCATCGTGGCCATCTGAACCATTGGGATTACATCCATCATCCCAAACTTAACTCAGGGGCTGCTGTATTCTACGGTGATGGCTATACAGGATGTTTTTTTTAAATTAAGGAATACAGTTGGCTCTCATTAATTCAAACTCAAAGGAACCTCTTCACTTTGTTTGAATGATCAAGAAGTTTGAATTATCAGAAGTTCTCAGATGACTCTGGGCGAGGTGACACCACACATTATGATTAGGAATTGACTTAATCACGTTTAAAAATTTTTTAAGTGTTTTTCAACCTGAACTGCACACAGTGAAGAGAAAGCAGAGGTGTAAGGTCCGCAAGTTTATTGGCCATTTCCTGCTGATCAGACCTTTTAAAGAAACCGTGAACCGCCAACTGCTTCACTGCTATAGGTACAGTAGACTCACAATAATTAAAACAAAATTAAATTTTTTGGTAGGCCCTCTATTTTTTCAATGCATTTAAAGCCTCTTAATTCAATACTTTTTGTGGTTCGATACCAGAAAATATCTGATGCTTCTCCACTACTATTTAAAAATTTGGATGCTTACATAATCCAAACAGTTTAAAAATTAAAAATAAGTGCCCCAGGCCTTCAAGGAAAAAGGCTTTGCTAGTAAATAAATCAGGGCATAGACGATCCCTACATAAACATACTCGAAGAAATCTACAGAGGATCCACAGCCACCATGGTTCTCCATAAAGAAAGTGGCACTGTCCCAATAAAGATGGGTGTAAGGCAGGGAGACACGATCTCTCCAATGCTATGCACCACGTGTTTACAGGAGGTTTTCAGTGCCCTGGATTGGGAAGAGTAAGGAATAACAGTTAATGGAGATTATCTTAGTAACCTGCAAACCGCTGATGACATTGGCTTGATGAGTAACTCAGGGGAGGAATTACAGTACATGATTACTGAACTAAACACGAAAAGCAGAAGAGTAGGTCTCAAAATTAATATGCACAAAACTAAACTAATGTGCAACAGTCTCGGCAGACAACAGCACCTTGCGATAGGTGGAGACACGCTGGAAATTGTAGAAGAATATGTCTGCATGTTGCGTTGAGCCCAGTTACTCTCTCCGAGCTCTTCTTGAGCATCGATCATTTTAACCCCTTTCTGTCTTTTTGGTTGGTGAAGGTAAAGATGAACACCTCAGTAATGCCTGAATTCTCCACTGAATATAAAACTGTGGTCATGAATCATGGCAAGCTACTTCCACGTGATGTCACTGAATGCATTGAATCTTGTAAGTGCATTTACAACATCTGCATCTTATTCGTGAGCTCATTCCAGGCCTGAGATATCACCTTTTCTCTTGGATGTTGTATATTCGTGTTTTCTTTCGTTTCAAGGCTGCCTGAAGCATAAATTTTGTCATTCTTTTCATTTAGCCGTCACTTTCTATGAAACTGCATCTTAGCCATAGCTTTCAGTAACATTGCCACTGCTCTCGTAGCTATAAAAAAGAATAGCAAAAAATTTGAGGGCCTTCCACGTAATTAAGTGTTGTTTTATAATGTAATAATGCCTATAAACTGGAAGAAACAGTTATGCATACATGTTTTATAGTTAGACTAAGCAAAGAATTGCTTTACTTTTTGTTCAAGTGCACTTCCAACAGGATTTCTGGCCAATATACTGCTCAAATTTTGTTCGAAAATCCATATTTCCATGCTAAAATGACTTCTCTCAAGATGCAGAAAAGAAAAAATAATTATATATATATATATATATATATATATATATATATATATATATATATATATATATATATATATATATATATATATATATATATATATATAAACTTTAGCTATGTTGCATGCAATGTGGCACCAGTTAAAAAAAATCCAACAAAACAAATTTATAAACTCAATGTACCACCAATACCATGCATCCCTGATGTGCCAAATATATTCTCTTGATTTCCTAAATATTTCTGATACACTGTAGCAAAAAAGCATAGAGCTGATGGCGACAGGAAGCAGTGGAGAAAGCTCTTACTGAAGAAAAAGAAGTGGGACACATTCATCCCATTATTTTTCAAACAATTAGTTTGCCATTCTTCTCGTTTGGGTATATATTATACTTTATTAGGCTGGCCTGTAATCCTGCTAGCATTTGTAGAGTACTAGTTTTTTCATATAGTTCAAAATGAACTTTAGCAAAACAATGTTGTGTCATATAAAAGTCACTAGTGTGTGAGAGGTATTAAGCCTTGCATTCTAATCAAATCGCACATTTCTGTAATACTGCAAGTTCGCCAATGCTTTCTTTTGTGGTAGTACCCCAAACTAGCAGTCCATAATTAAGTACTGATACGAACAGAGCATTATACAAAAACATATTGATGCTTGTAGGGCATTCAAAAAAGATACAGCGCATCACATCTTCTATTGTACTAGATAGTTTGCTAATTAGGTGATTTATCTGGTCATCCCAGTCATTTGTTCATTGAAATAGACACCTAGAGTTTTCATTTATTGATGGTACAAACTCAATTTCTGAATTATTTAATATTATTGGTGCTAGTTGAACGGTCTTGTTCCACAGTCGAAACAAGATTGCCTTAGTTTTGCTAATGTTAATTTTTTAGTGGTTTTTGAGTCGTCCAGTAATTTATTTTCGATAGCACTTTGTTACCTCTATTAATCAAGTCCTTTTCTGGGTTCCCTGAAAAAAATAAACTGGTGTCATCTGCGTTTATAATGCATTTGGCTGCACCATAAAATGTCGGAACTTCATTAATATAAAGTAAAAACAAAAATGGTCCTAAGATACTTCTCTCGGGGACACCACATATGACTGGTTTTTCATCTTATCTCTCTCGCAATAATTACAGATTGACTTGCACTGGATCAATTGCACTGGATCTATAAAATTATGGCAGTCTCGAAAAAATGACAAGCACACTAAAATTATTTTTTTGAAACCTTTCGAAAACACTGGTAATATGGATACCGGCCTGTAGTTGCTCATTTTATTTTTATCCCCCTTTTTGAATATCGCAGTCACTTTGGCGGTTTGCACGTCACATTGAAATATTCCTAGTGACAAACTTTGGTTATATATATATGTTATACCCCTGTCACATGAGAAAGTTTAATGCCATTATACTTTATTTGCATTCGACACATCGAATGACATTAGGACACGTGTGCTGCTACACGGAAAGATATAATGTCATTTGTAAATGATGGTAATTGCAATGTCGCTAAGACGGGACTGAACAAAAAAACAGTCACAGCGTGTGTAAGAAATTTATTATGTATACTAAGAGTTATAAAAAATGTTTCCATGGATGAAATTGAGGATGAAAGGTTAATATGCAGTTTTTTAAATATCCGAAGAAAACCTCGTAGCTCATACTAAATTGAGGCGAGACTGGAGCCACTATCGCTCTAGGGGAAACGTGGTAAATGTTCAATATGGCTGGCATGGCAGAGTGAGAGGAAGCCGCTGCAACTTCTCGTGCCGATCGGATAAGAAGCCTTGTCGCGGCGTATTTCTCCCTTCGTGCCAGGCATGTTAACCAAAAAAGACAGCTCCGCGGCTTTTGTAAACACTGAGCACATGGCTGACATGACCAGCATGTCTGGCGATGCTTTTGAGAATGTCGCTGTGAACGAGGATATTCAGATTTTTTTCTAATGGCTCAGTTGAATTGTATGCAAATACATTAAACAATACTTCAAAAGAAAACCATATTAATACTTATGATTTATTAACCATTTCATATATAATCTGTTCACGGCTCTCTTCCCACGAGAGTACATCTTCGCGATGAAAACTCATTTAAATGAGTTCGGCTAGGTCATTCGTTTTCTGAAGTCATTTTCTTTTAATGACATTAGACATTCCCATGTGACAGCCAATTAATGTCATTAAATGTAAATGTCATTGGGTGCAAATGACAGTAAACCTTCTCGTGTGAGAGGGGTATTAGAAATGGAGTCAGAATATCTATTACATATTTCACTGGTTTTACTTGAATGCCCGACACATCAGTGGCTTTACTGTTGCTCATGACAAAGAATGAGATAACTTCATTGTTGGACACTGGTGTAAGAAATATTGTACGTTCTGTGTATGAATTTGCATCATAATTAAAATTGGGATTATCTAAAGAATAGCCAAGAGTAACAAAAATGCCATTGAATCTGTTTGCCAAATCACAATCCATTAATTCTATGCTGTTCTGCAATATGTTAATTGTTTGTTCCAGTGATTTCCCAAGCATTGTATTTAGAGTCTACCAAATTTTAGCAGAGCATTGCGCAGTGCAGTAGCTATTCATTTTAGACCCTTTGTAGCTGCTTTGTAACAGAGTTTGTAAACTCCTTAAATGCTTCAAAAGCCTTTGAGTTTCTAGTTTTGATAAATGCCTTACATAATCAGTCTCGTTTTTTTTATTGGGTTGAGTAAGTCCTTTGTCATCCAAGGTTTCCTGTATTTTTGGCAACTGAACAGGTTCTATAAACATTGCTGCGAAAAACTTTCCCCCTCCCTCCCCTGCCCAAAGGAAAACCCTGCGCACACCTATGGGTGCCTCGATGCCAACGCTGCTACTTCTTTGTTAGGAGCCATGTTGTCAAGCGGAGTGCTGTGAATAGCGCGAGGACTCTCTGTAAATGCATTGGTGGTTAAAGAAGTAGTGGCACAATAACTTCGGCTTTATGTTTTTTTGCTGCAATTTGTTGCTGGAGGCCTCTCAGTCATAACACAGAGTATCGTTTGCTGCAGTGTATGACAGATAATTAATTAAAGGCTCCTAATAACCAACCAGCCTTAGCTTCTATTTGAGAGCTCCAAAGACGACTAGCCGCCGGTTGCAACCATCGCCACCTAGCGTGTGCAACTTTTAACTACGTCAGCACACAGAACTGTGACGCATTTCTGCACAGTCTGCATCAAGAGGTCCTTTCTGACAGGAAACGGGACAGTGTTGCAGTGTCACTAAACACAAAGCTTTCAACGTGTGTGCCACAGCCACAGACTCGCAAGCAGATACCCAGTACTAGTCCGCTCGTGTAAACATGGCAAAAGAAGAATGGCGGCTATGGTGTTATCATAACTTGTTGCAGTCACGTGAGAGAAGTAGGGGGGTCACCAAGGGTCACATATGGTGTGTAACTTTGAGTATCAGTGTACTTTGAGGTTACACACCTTTTCACAGGAGGTAAGAAAATGCCACCATGTTGGGTGGTACTCAGGAGTACAAATGCTGAAGTCAAAGCCTCAGCAGTGCATTTTGGGGAAGGGGCCCACGCCAATTTGCACATCCCAAAAAGGACTATGGCAGCACCCAGGAAAATGTCTTAATAGCGCGAGGGAGTCGATCATTCATGCAAACTTTAAAATTCATTTAGACCTTCTTCCAAGCTATATTTGCGGTTGAAATTTTGCAGATTATATATGCATTCTTACAGAAATCCATCCCACAGGCTATCTCGGCTGCGTAAGCTATATATTAGGGAGTTTTACCAACACTTTGCGCTAGCGCTGGTAGTCACTGCACACGCGTTGTATGCCATCATTTGGCGGGACTCCACTAAGTAACGGAATTGACGGGTGTCTATTAAACTGCCTCATTACATCAGTTCTTAGACCAGATGCTATGACAGGCTTTTGCATCACGTCATTTGTGTTTATTTGCATTATGATACACCTGAGGTGCATATCATGAGCATTCTTGTCGACACCTGACAGGACACACGACAACTTTCATTTACATCAAGGTAACGAAACAGCTGCGAGACCATGAACACTTGACATCACATATATGCCATGGCCAGTAATTTAGGTCTGTCATGCACATGTGATGGCACGCCAAATGCGGTGTATATGAAATGAATGAAATAACTTCAAAACGCCAAGACCGCTTCGTGCAACATACGTGACATGCATGACATTATATTCTTGTTATAGCCTATCATTTCTGTTCGTTGCACACCCAATATATTAGCTGGAGGCCTTTTATCAATAAGAAAGTAATGTCTGCCACTGAGGCATTGAGTGAGTCAGTGCCAGTAGCATTGACAGTTGTGAGTTCCCTGGGAAAAACAGACTGACTAACAAGTACAGATGGATGTATCTTTTCTATGGCCCATGTAGAGGAGATACATGCCCTCCTGACCCATCAATTCTTCACATAAATGTGCACACACACAAGCACACTAAAACAACCAAGTGCTTACTTAACTACTGTGCCACCATATCATTGGTGTCATATTCGAAAGTGCTCTTTAATCTGTTTAACTGAACCGAACTGGGTCTTCGTGGAATTTCAGTTAATGGGATTTTACATATTTGAAAAAGCCCAAATTATGCCTAATTCCAAAATCTGAATTCACAATTGTGACAGTACAGAGCATCCTGCTTTCCAGTATTTTCAGTTCCAGCCATTGATGCATTTGAGGTTTTACTAAAGTGCCCTCGATTAACTATGTACATTTTTTCACCATAAAACAAAAGGATGGAGGTAGTTATTCACAAGGACTGCATAATGAAACAACTCTATTCACTCAACTCTGCTATAAATTGGCACTTTGAGCAAGTTGGTGAATTTTCACCTAGTGTCAACTCTGCTTTGTTGTTCTCACCCAACACTCCTGGTAGGTGATACAGATGAAATATAAGCAAGAGGCCACTTCAGCCATTTTTACAGTGCACAAAAAAGGAATAGAATTGAAATTGATACCTGCAATCTTTAAACTCTGCCTTGCATAGGTCCATCAAAACCATCAGCAATTCAAATGCTCTTTAGGAGAAAAGCATTCTGCATATACTACAAAATAAAATGACATTATTCACATATATACACCCCCTGCTGTTGATAACTCTCATCATCACATAAGCTTTCTCAGCTTCTCAAGCCTGAAAAGGAAAAGAAATGAAACGGAAACATTTTAGGCCATACTTATAAACACATGGTACAGCACAAATAACAACACATACACCCATGTGAAAATGTTCATCTGGATTACTATATAATTGCCATTTGTTGCTGGTTAAGAGCATCACACGCCAGCTGTTCAACCATATATTTACAGAAAAAATGAAAGAGGCTAATGCCTTGACATGAAATAAGGGGTATATCGTATGCACTGGGAGATAGCTATACGGTCATTCATATGAGCACTACAACAAAGTTTGAAATGAAGCTCATCTGGGCTTCACTGCTACAGTCGCACAACTTTTTTAGTGTCCGCAATGTGATGATCAAGCATAGGACCAAGCTTACTCATGAAATGATCAAGTTGAAGTCATATGTAAGCTAGGTGATGTGTGTATGTAGGGCCCATAAACCACCTCCGATATCTTTTCAAGCATTTCAAGTAAGCACGCGCATCGTGTGCAGAATGCCGTCACGATCAACAATTCTACACATGGCAGTGCTACGAGCTGCCGGCATGCCACAAATTCTAAGAAACAAGCCCTCCTGCTTTACAGGCCTTTCGGGCCTCCGCGTGACACAACAAGCCTAATATGCTATGACTGGTCGAGCAAGAGCCTACGACTTCCAGTCAGTCTGCAAGCAGCTGTACGCACTGCTTGGTGTTCTTCATCGTGTTGCCCGTGTGCGTATAACACGTGCAGGACACGGTGTGTCCCCGTACGTGTCCATCGCGTTGGCAATCCTTTGAATGTGTGCACGCAACGCAGGTTCCATACCGGCACAATTACAGCAGCCATGGTTCGCCAACAAACATGCAACTGACGGAGTCGATGGCCAGAGTCGCGGCAAGTAGAAGTAGACGGTGTTTAAAGTAGCGTGTCAGCGATGACGTATGCCAGGCGAGATTGGGAGGGGCACTCGGTGAGAGGGAAAAGCGGCGGGGTAGAGGATACCAGTGGAGGGTAGTGCAGGAGAGAGCGAAAGATGAGGTCGTCACGGTTTCCACAATAAAACGGGTCTAACTCCGCTATTACTGCAGCGTTCTGAAAAATTTTCATGGCTCTGTGTCTGTCCTACACTCGTGCACAATTTCCCCACCAGTCCTGAATTTCGACCTCTGGGTGGTTTACGGGCCCTTCAATGGACCTTCTGTCACAGTACCTGTACAAAAAGTTGCATATCTTGCCAGGTCTTGAGCTAATGGCGAGCACGTGTTTTGAAATAATCACTGATGTTTATCAATTGCACTCCTGTACCTTGTTTTTTTTTTTCATACAGTGTATATAATCAACCCCCCCCCCCCCCCAAAAAAAAAAAAACGAATTCGCTTCGAACCTATATTTCACTGAATTCAAGGCAATGATGCGGGCTAGTTCGTTTCCCCCAGCACGAAGGCGGGGGTTCATTTGGCGGATCATTACCGCAGGTGTGATTGTGCTCCTGATTTCGCCAATACACATGTGCTTAGAAAAGACAAGAATAAGGCAATGTGACAAATTATAGAAGCATTCGCTATCAGTGAGAATGAAAGAAAATGTGTCAGTGTAGCGTCGGTTGCCTTATCCAGAAAAGAGATTGAGTATTTGAAAGTAAATCTTGCGCATGCAGGGTGGTAACATGTGACTTTACAGACATAAGAAAGCACTTAAGAGTGTGATTGTGCGCATGCACTTATGTCCGATGGTACTTTTTGGCTTTTTTAATAAAAAAAAAAATCCGTTGATGTCTAGCACCTGTTCTGTTAATGTATTCCTTCTGTGTCCATCTTTTTTTTCGTTATGCACAACGAATATGAATGCAAATCCCTGAATTCACTTTTTGAACAAGCCTTAAATAAATAAAGAAGAAAAGAAAGAAAAAAAGGGAGAGTAGCATCTCCTCTTAAGGAGTCGAAGATACCATTCCCAGGCTGCATTCCAAACAAAGTTCATCTGTCCTGTGGGCAATGCTTGAAACAATGTTGAAAAAAATGTCTAAAAACTATAAAACCATTATTCTTAAAACAATGTACTGCATGCTTGCAATTGTTCACAAGGCGAGCAGATGAAATTCTTGGAGACAGCACTCTGGCTTCCTACATTGCCTTGTGGCTGCCACTGTGTGCATGGGCAAATTTTTAGATTTCTATTGAGAGAACTCTAGCTGGTGTAATCACAACACAATACTACTGTGGTATTTTCCTAGACAAGCATAGCATGAAATGCTAGTTTGCTGCTGGAAACAATTTTTCTATTTCAACAATGACGAAAAATTATACCTCGACATGATGTCTCTGTAAGAGGGTTCTTTTTCAGATGTTGGCAGTTCATCTGAGGAATCACTGGTTTCATCCCCTTCACTGCTTTCTTGTTGAGAGCCCTTTCTCACTGTTATTTGTTTTGCATGCTTCTTGTGTTTCTTCTTCTTAAGTTTAGACTGATGAAGAAAAAGACAAATAAAGAAAGATAAACTTGGCATAAAGGCACGAAAACTTTTTCTACTAGCATAGATCAAATGACAATTGCCTAGCTCACCTTCAGCTTCTTTTTGTGTTTCTTCTCGCTCTTCGTCTTGCTATTTTTTTTCTTGTGCTTGTTAGGGTGCTGCAACTTAGAAGAACCTTGAGGGATAGCTGAGAATAGAAGAGTAACGGACCAATTGCCAGCATATTATACTCACACGTGCACAGACTGCACAGGAGCACTAAGCACCAATAAATAATATACTATACACCATTCACACACTGCAGTTTAATTCTGCATTACTCATTGTTCCCTACAATATTAAAAAACCTTGAAATCAGAAAAATTGTACCCCAATCTAAATTTACATTTGCACCCCAACGACAAAGAAACATAAGACAAAAGCCAGAATATAGGCCGACCCCCTCCCCCCCAACCTTGAATCTTCGAAAAACAAATTCTTAAAAATCACTAAGTATCATGGTGCACCCTTACCTTGATATATACACGACACAACTAGCTGGACTGTGGTGACGTTTCTTTTTATTTTGACACTAATCTTATATAGTCAAATGCCAGAAGGCCACAAAGTGCTGTCACTCAGAGTCATCTAAACTTGAGTTCGATGGCGTCTGTTTCTCACTAGTTACGTCCCAGAGTGCACCGTTCTCTGTTCCATCCAATGCGTTGCTTATGCAGCACTTGCAGAAGGGCTTGCGCACCATCTCTTCCAGGAGAGATTTCCCTGCTGACGACACCCAGCTACAAACGAACACAAGTGGTGGACGTCGTAGGCGGCCAGCGGGGGCCTTGGGATTGTCGCTCAGCATCCACACATTGTAGAGCTCGCGCACGCAATCTTTGAAGGGCTCATTGAGCACTATGTCCAGTGGCTGGAGGATTGATGTTAGTCCCCCAGGGATCACAAAAGGTCCATCTTGCCATCGGACAGAGCTCCCTTTGCACCGGCCGTGAGGTGGCTTCGAAATGAGTCGAGCACCAACATGCTCGGTCGCTGAAAAAGTGCACTGGGTCGCCAATTCTGCACGAGCTTGATCTACTCAAACACGCGAGACTCGTTCTTGAACCCCTTTTTGTTCGCTCTCACGATAACATCCCGAGAAAAGTCTCCTTTTGGTAGCCCTTTGCTCTTGAAAGTGATACAAGAGGGGCAGCTTCTTTCCATCGGCTGTGCACATGAGCATCACTGTAAATCGTGAATGCTCGTTGGCCGTTGTCAAGAGCTGCACTTGCTGGGATCCTTTAGCAGTCACAGTCCAGTTCGAGGGCATATCAAACCAAATCGACACTTCGTCCGTGTTGCCAATGTGTCTCATCATGTAGCAAAGCTGTCGACAAAGCTTTACGTTTTGAAGCGCTAATACTCAACCAGCTTGTTATCAAAATGTTTGGGCAGTTTTTAACACGTGGTAGTATGCCGCCTCAGCACAAAGCTCTTCCGCTTCATAAATCAGTGCACCCACAATGGTAAGCCCTGGAATTGCGCTCTCGTGAGCCCAGAGTCTCGCTATCTCAATTGCTTTCAGGCGGATGCACTCCGCTGTCAAAGGTGGTAACCTTGCATGCAGCTCCCGGATGAATTCAGCGAGTAACGTTTCCAGTTCGGGGTGCACTGCAGTCCATCCACGAAGTGAAGTTCTTTTTTTTGTTGCTGCAGGATGTGTTGTGCTGCTTTTAGCTCCTTTAGTATCAGACGCTTTTCTCTGATGCTACGAATTCCCGTTGTGCCACGAGATTGCCGTGTGCTTCGGCATACTCGACAACTTTTTCTTAAAGCCCATCGTAAAATGCCATTGACTACCATTCATTTCTGAAGAAAATATAAAAGAGCAGACCGACAAAGATAACTGAGGCAAAATGGCATTGCTAGTACACTGTAGGCCTTGCTAGAGTGTACTATTATTGCCTAGCCTGGTCTATAGTGAACTAGAAGAGATGTATTGGCATGAACGGCCGGGAGCGCCAAGTTTTTCAGCGTACCTTTACGCTCTGGACGCCGCTAGGTTAGGTGGTTGCGCTGTTGCTCCTTTTCATACAGAGAGCCTAAAGCCCCTGAATTCAGAGGCTTCAAGGGAGCCTTCATGTGCGCGCCCTGCCACAACGGAGCCTTCATGTGTGCACCACCACAACGGAGGCGGCGCGCACATGAAGTGTAAAAAGGTTTTTGGCCAAGCTAGTTGGTGAAGATTCGTAACAGCTCACAGCACACTCAGAGACACGGGCGAAGAAGGAACACACAGAGACAAGCGCTGACTAACAAGAGAATTTTACTTGCGTTTCTGCAAAAGAGTTCACCAATTTTCTACACTGAGTTTAAGAGGGAATATTTTGTAAAAATATAACGATATTCCGCAGTTTAACCGCATAAAAGCTGTGTGCAATAAATTTGTTTCCTTTTTCTATAGCCTCATGAAAGTGAATATTGCCTGCAAAAGTGTAAGCCTATTACATGTTTAAAAGCGAACGATTCGTGCATAAATGAAAATATGTCTCATTGTTTCTCAAGTGTTATTAGAACATTTTTGTGAAAGGTCTACATGGATCCAATTTTTTATAAGTGCCACCTTTTCCAAAAGATTTGACCCACCCTCTTCCCATATTGAAAATATTTAAATTTTGAACCATCTGTATTACCTGTTGTGATCAGTAGGTATATACCATATACATAATAGCACTATATCGAAATGCTGCCTTAGAAGAGCATAAATCTGTGTTGTTGTATCAAATCAAAAGTAGATAGACGAGTGGTAGCGTATTTACTGTAAATACGGCAAACCGTTTCTGAAAAAGGACCACCTGTCCACTTTGGCAGAGCTCGCATGCAGACAACCAATGCTTGCGCTACCGAATCAGTGAAGCTGAAGCAGCTAGAGGAAGCTATTTTCGGGGCAAAGCTCGTTAGGGTGTGGGGTTGTTCTCTCCTCCATTTGTATGTAGTATGTATATAGCCACCTCTAGTTTACGAATCGCTCACTAGATGGGGTGGTGTGTATATGTCCTTGGAAATAATATCATTGTGTTAGTGATTTTTGTATAGTTGACGAGTAAAGAGGATAGATGGCACTGTTATACTAAAAAACCCACAGTATGTCCACCCACGGAGTGAATGATGATGATTGGGGCAAAATGTCCGTCTGTCCGGTGCGTGCTTTAGCGTGATAGGAGCGGGCGGACAGACAGATGGACGCTTTGCCACACTCATCATCATTCACTCCATGGATATGCTGTGACTTTTTTTTTTCACAAATGCGCTCCCTGATTTTCGAGAGAAGATGTCTTCAATTAAAATAAAGGTAAACAACACTGTAGGTTAAGAAGGATGGAAGAAATATACGGTGCTTGGACTACACTTATAAGTGTCGTATGCATTCTTTCTTTACGTCTTAACTTCTCGCACAGTTTAGTCTTCTTTCAGTATGATCCAACAAAACAGACAAATTTTATAGCTGTCCATGTGTCTTCGTCTCCTGATTTAGTTAACAATTACGATGACAATCTCTCCGCGTGCTCCGTAAGAAAGAACCCAGGTGATATTAAACAAACACTCCGTAGAGGCTTACGCTATATTCACACGCGAAAGCAAAATCCCGCTGCTCCGCGGGATTTGGGGCAGCAGCGGAGACATCGCATGCACACAACTGGAGGTAGCTCACAAAATCATTGAGCATACTCTCGACTTCTATGCTTGTGCAGCATACTACTCATGTTTGTGGTGACGCAGGCCACGCATTGTGAATGAAAACCAACAATCCACCACCAAAAACCACTGGTCTCTTACACTGTCACATGAAACACATTCCGTCGTTGCCACAAAACTAAAACACGTGGCTTTTAAGCCAGCAGCCTGCTTCCTAGCCACGCCAATCCGACCAATGTTGACAGATTTGACGCTGAATCCTCTCGATCGAGGACAGATGACTGTCAAACGAACAAATCAAAATAGCAGCGACGCATTTCCCTTGGTGCCATGAGTAGAGGAGAGCAGTGAAGCGAGGACGGCAAGTTTTGATGACGCACACGTCAGGTGATACTCTGTCCGCTCTAAAAATTCCTCCTCCGTTCTCTCTTGTCAATCCACCTTTACAGTAAATATGACTTGTGTTCTTTGCAGTTAAATCTAAAAAGCATCAAGTCTCAAGCATGACCAGATGACAAAGCGGGAAAGAAGGGGGGGGGGGGGGCGAAGGGCTCCTTTTATTTTTTTTCAACAGGGCCCTCCACACTGTTAATCCAGCCCTGTGTACAAGCAATCTTTTTTTTAATAAACGTTTAGCATGGTACTAATGAGTACGACTTGCAAGAGACTTTGGACATGTGCTGTTCCAAGCATGAGATATATTGCCAAATTACAAATTAGAGCTTAGAAGTAGTACTGCAAGGTGCATACCTGTAATTGATGATGCAGTGATAGAACAGGAGCTGCTAGTTGGTAGAGGTGGTGGCACTGGGCCATATATGCTGCCGCCTGATGTTTCCTTACTCGACTGGGAGGACGATATTTCACCTGATGAAGCATAAGTCACTGTGCTGGTAGGTGGATTAGATGGAACGTCTTGCAGTGGTGCGGGCGGCGCCCTGCGATCGAGTAGCTCAAAGTCCAGGTTGGCAAAGACTCCGAGGGCAGGTCGTGATGGCTGCTTTAGTGCTTTATTTGGGCTCATTTTCGTGTTAGTGGCCTCTCCAACAGCCTTCTCATCTGCTGTTGATGCTCCCGATGCGGGTTTAGTACTGAAATTCTCCTCATCATCTGAGGATTCTGAAAAAATTGACTTGAAAAATTCGAGAGGTGGACGCTCCTCTTCAGGCGTGTCCTTGGAGTCCTGCATCAGAGATGAGTAAAAGTAAAGAATCATACCATATTTACACTCATAATTTGCACCCTCGTATAATCTGAGCACCCCTAATATTTTGCCAGCTTTTCGGGAAAAAAATATTTACTACCATATTTTGCGCTCCCAGACCCGCCTGAGCTAGCTCACCGCATGTGCATCTTTAAACCTTTCGATGCTTTGGATGGCTGTGCGTCTCGCCGAGCAGACGAGCGCAGTCAAACAGGCTGCAAGTGCGAAATCCCTTCCTTCAAGGACTTCCCCTGAACCAGGGTTCCAAAAAATACCGCACATGAACACAAACGTGTTGACGGGTTGCCAAAACTGCTCCAGCGTTTGCCTCCCCCTACTTCCCAATCTCTACCACCGCGATGATGGCGAGAATGCACGGGTGCGTCCTGGCAAGGACAACTCTCTGCATTGGAGGCATGTGAGGGCCTGTCGCACCAACTGTTCCCCTCGTTCCCTTCGTCTGCGCTGCAATGCACGCTTGTTCGATTTCGAAATCCGGCAGGCGCGTTTTGACCATTCCCTTGCGATGTGGCATAGTAATTATGTATACGGCAATATTGAAGCTTGCTTTGTATTGTAAATTTCGCCGACGAAAATGGGAAGCGTGCCTCCGCAAAGCACTTCAAGGGGACGTAGCGCAAAGCACTTCAAGGGGACGTACTTCAACATGACAACCAGCGTGATCGGTACGTGAAAAAGCAGAATAGTGTGTGCTTGCCATTGCAAGTTTCGTGCAATTGAAGGAGGCCTTTTCAACTATGTGTGGGTGCTTAGTTTCATCGGTGTCGCCGTGTCGGGGGACCTAGTTTCTCCCAGCATTGTCGAAAGCCGAAAATGGGGAGTTCAAACGCGTTCTACAGAACCGAGGACGATGCGATTGGGGGGGGGGGGGGGGGAGTGGTGGCAGTGGTTGCGATGATGATTCCCAATTGAACTTCGCGATCCGTGATTCCCGCTAGACCGCGTGTGACCAGGTCTGACTGGTTAATGTACGTAAAATTATTTCAAAATTAATAAGTAGACTTCATTTGTGCTTCAATGTATTTCTTTTTTAAAATCTACATGACACAACATTTCATTTCATATGCACTCGCAAAATGCCCACGTAATTTGTGCATCTCCTTCTCGGGATGCCAAAATTGCGAAGAAAAAAAGTGTTCAAATTATGCGAATATTTACAGTAATTCAATTGGACCTTTTATCGACAAACTTACAGAGATTAGCTCCAGCAAAACGCAACATGAAACAAGGCTGTGGCATTAGCATTTCAGAACGTTTTTTTTTCCTTTTTTTTTCTTATCACCAGCGTTGACATGCCTAGGATCCAGAAGATTGTGACTTTTGAACCATATAACATTTAGTGCACATGCTGGCCTTCGTTAAAGCTAGGTTATATTATATATAAAGTTGCATGTAAAATGTTTTCCCATTCATTGCAGATAGGTGCTATTATATATACGATTGCACACAAAAAGTTTTCCCATTATTGAAACTCTATATATGTATTATAAAATCCATCATTAAGTACTCAATAATACACAAGTACACTGATGGCATTAACCAAACTTAAATTACTGGATTTCATCCTATGTCCACTGACATGAACATACTGTAGTATTAGGCCCACAAAATAAAGTCAATGGACAATGCAGGGGAAAGACAGCCCCTTTGAATATGGAGTGAACACTTGCCCCTCTGAAAAACGAAGCTGCTTGACTGCAAACATGCTACTGATTACAGAGAGTGATCGGAATCACAACAGAGTGTATCAACCACACGTAGCTGGCTTTTACAGAGGCCTTGCAGGTCAGAAAACATTCTTGATTGGTAGTCGGGACTCCTGCAAACACGTGAGCCAAACATTATAGTATGACATGAGATCTGGAATTTACAATTAAGCCTTTAGATCAGCTACAAATCGCTCCCTCTTCTATCTACAAATGATGCCATGCACCCAAGTTACTGTGCCTTATACCCAAAGGTCACAGTGATCGGTTGATTTAGGCATCATGAACTGCATTATTACCGTGGTCACCGCGGGATGCCACTATGAGCCCGTGCACACTCACCATCGCACTGAAAGTAAGCTGTGAATTTCAAGATTAAATAAAAGGAAAGTGCTCAAGGTAATAACGCATGCGAACGAAGGAACCCATCTTGCCCCTTGTCATCATCCTCCTGCATAGCGTTCAGCATATCCCTCTGCCTCCTCTCAAACTTGACAAATTCTAAATATACTTGTGGGACTCAATTCGTGAGGCAATAAGCTCTTTTAATGAAGCCATTAGACGATTACGTAAAAAAGTGTTTAAGGCCTTTTTTTTAAATGTGCATTAAGCAAGTGGCAATAAACAGTGATGCCACCGGGGTCTTCTGATTTGGAGCAATTTTTAGAGCAGCAAAATTTTCACTTTGGAGCATCTTGGAGCAGCAAAAGTTTCTATTTTGGAGCACATTGGAGCAGCAAAATTTTCATTTTAGAGCACTTAGTAGCAGTAAAATTTTCTATTTTGGAGCAATCTGGAGCAGCTAACTTCACATCCCGGAGGAGAAGCAAGTTGCATTTACATTCAAGGGCATGGATAATTATTTTGGGGCTCTTGCCTCATGTGAAGAGCTAGAAATATTTCAATTCATTTCAAATTTTATGAAGGCAATCATCTTAGGAGCACTCCCTATTTTAGTTGATGATGCAAAAATAATGTCATCGTTATATTGCCCATTCTGAAAGAACTTTTCAGTGATTATTTTCGTAGCAAATAAACATAATACTAGTTGAATAAAATTATACCTCATGAAATAAAATTCTATACACCTTTGTGGTTATCAGTATATATGGTAGACAAACATTGTGACGTACAACACTAGAGACACACACTTGCAACTGCATTTCCTTCAGATGACCCAAGGATATAGAAAAGTTCTTTTTCTTTACAACCAATCATACTGCTGGGCTTAACATGACGTCATTTAGCTAGTCTCATAAAGCCAACCTCCTTCAGCACTCATCTTTCTGTGCTGAAACTACATGATTCAACAAACTTCGTTTTCCATTTGCAGTGATGTTTTATGCAGCTAGGGCATCTTTTCTATACTCCAAAATCCAGCCCGTAATGTTCTAGAAAGCAGTGCATAAATAATAGAGAACCTCACAGGATACCTTATGCATACGCCTAAGACGACTTGAAGGTGAGAATCATTTTCTTTTTATTGCGATAGCAATTACAAGGACATTCTCGACCGGTCTTTGCCATCACCAGGGGCGTAGGTAAATTTTTTTTATTGTTTGGGAGAGAGTGCACCTTGACATGAGGGGGGGGGGGGGGCATGCAAATGGTAATATTGAGCTACAAATACATGCCATGGCAAAAAAATATTTTAAAAGGGGGGGGGGGACATTATCAATGTGCCCCCCTCGCCTGACTATGATTGATTGTTATGTGGGGTTTAACGTCCCAAAACTATAACATCATTTACGAGAGACGCCGTAGTGAAGGGCTCCAGAAATTTCGACCACCTGGGTTCTTTAACGTGCTTGTGGCTATGCCACTGGCTGTCGCCGTCATGTTTTGTGTAATATCCCAATCGATAACACCCCCCCCCCCCCCCCCGCATCGGGTGTTTTACAAGCGGGCAAAAGCGCACAAGCAGGTGCAACAAATGCAGCTATAACACAGATAAAAAAGTGACAATTTCTCCACAAGGGCAAAGCAATGAATGCAATAGCAACAACTTAAAACGTAACGCTGAGAACAGCAAGCAGATCGAAACATGTATTGCGCTGCTCACGCACAAATGACGCACGAAAACAACATACACAGGACGATAGCAAACTAACAATGTTTACCGCTCGACAATTAACACACTGTTTAAACAAAAATGACCGACGAAACATAGTCACAAGTACAGATGAGTGCAAGCTAACAAGTGTCCCAGTCGTTATGCTTCGCTGTGTATGAAAAACGCGCTCTTTTTGCAAACAGGGCCTGTGCAGACAGCAAAGTGACCTTTGTGCTGGGCCCGGCAACTAAGGAACTAACGCAATCGTTCCGGTGAATGCCTAAGGCACATGATTCTCCTTGCCGAAGGATAAGTGCACGTGCACAAGGATCTAAACCCCCCTCCTGCCCCCATTAGTAGGGCAAGGTATGAGTGGGAGACAACCGCGCGTCGGTGCATCGTGATGAGCTGGGCACCGAGCGCGGGTGGCTTTTTTTTTTCTTTCTTGAGTTTTTATATGTATAGATACATATAAACATTGAATGAGGCGGCGGCGGCGACGTCAAGAAATCAACCAAGACTGTCCATATAATTGCTATCGCAATAAAACAGCCAACCTACCTCCTTTGCACGGAGTGCAGATGTGATAGCATCACCTTTTGTGCCAGGCCTGCCATCGATTGTTACTAAACCGGAGGAGAAAGCGCCACTTATCTTCAAAAAGCAAGAAGGAACTAGGAACGCAAGGGGGGGGGGGCATTGTTATGAACTTTGGGTGTCATCACTGGCACTCATGCTAATTCGGCAGGCATTAAAGATGGCTGTTATACCCTTCTATCTTGTACTCTCAATTCGAACAGACTGTTGATATCACATTCATTGCTAAAAGCCTAAGTGAAACTAACAAATAGTATCTTTTGGACACTATGTCGCATAACTCAGATGAACGCTGGCTTAAGGGACTATGGTCACTCCAATTGCCGAAGCGGTTTTTGCACTATCAATTATCTAAACACAAAGCAGAGGTTATAGTAGCACAAAAACTTTACGAGCATGTTTCATTAGGCCTCGAGATAGGCACCCGCGAAGGTGCTATCTCAAGGCCTAATGCTATCTCAAGGCCTAACTTGAAACCTGTTTCTTGTTTTCCTAGGATGCAAAATAACATTCAGGCATGTTCTTACACCAAGACTGCAGTGTGCTCACAAATGTTTACTGTGGCTACAAAAGCACTTGCCTCTTCATTATCATGCCTGGCATTCACTGCAGTTGACACTTCAGCACTTGAATCAGCAGTTTCAGTACTAATCACGGGTCCTAGAAGAAACATATAAATTTTGCAGTTAGTAATACATTTCTCAAATTTAGCCTGCCAGAAGTATTTGTGTGGGGAGATCACAATGTTTGCTTTAAACATCTTGATATAAAAGTTCCACCATTTAAAGCACTAATGCAATAATAAGCATATTTGATTGGTAAGTGCTGCTTCTAAAATCATTAAGTTTTGGGTTCATTCTTGCATGTTGGACGAAGCACAAGAGCAAATTTCAATACTGAAAAAAATTAGATATAATACATTAACACTAGTTTTGACATCCTGGCTATTGAAATGTTGAAACAAGGATATAAAATGCTTTATTACATGTATGTGGTAATACAATTAAATGACCCAATTTCTTGGACTCCTTAGGATAGCGAAATCATCTGAAGAATCAGGTAGTCTGGATAAACGAAAGCAAACATTCTTACTTCGCTCAAGGGCTCAAATAACCACAGCCACATCCAAAATAACACTAAGTACTTCTACTACACCTTTCAAGTGTCTCAATCCTCAGTCTGTGAGAGTAGATGGTGGGTGTACATGTTTTAAAGAATGCATTATGTCCCATGACAGTAGACCATCCCCATCTTTGGCATGTGTCACTGCAATATGGATTAGTCGTTCCTGCTGTTGGGCCAATTGATACATAACAGATTAGGACAAACACTAAAACAAGGACTGGAGACACAAGATGCTAATAAGTGCACACTCATAACTAAATTTAATTCTTCTGAGAGCTTTGCTTCACAGCCATCTAGCATCCATACAAGGAGACAATAAAAAAAGACCATAAAAAATTGGTAGGAAGACTACTTAATCAAATTCTATGAACCAGAAGTTATAACACTATGTATTCTCACAAACTGACACGGAAAGAATGCCGATTCATTGATCCCAAATTTTTTGTAAATACACAGTTTCAGTCAGTTCCCAAGCTGCTGCGGTGGTTACATGATTAGAGCGCCCACTTCCAATGTGGGAGGTGCCAGGTTCGATTCCCAGTGCCAACTGGGAACCCACCGGTTTTTCACAATGGGTAGAGAGGTACACCGACCTGCTGCTTGGTTGTTTCTGGGTAGTCATCGCGAAAGGTGGCTTAATAAGGTTCTGCGAAGGCCCTGGACGTGCCTTAACCCCCCACAGCCTTGGTGAAATAGATGAGCATCCGCCGCTGCTGTTGAGGGCAGAGAATTACTGCCGCCAGGTACCGGTACCTACTGGTTAAATAGGTACAAGCGCACTTCCAACCTGGTGCTCGACAGAACGTAGTCGTAATCGCTTGGGAGGTCACCCATTCTGTGGGAAATTGGCGGTATGGAACCGCCAGACTTAAAGTTAAAGGCATCCTCTTTTTTCTCCTTTTTTTATACTTTTCTACAAAAGGCATGTGTCCTCTGGCAATAGTTCACACGGGCATTCTTTACAGTGACACGGGAAATATAACCCTGGCCTATTTTTTTTTCTAGACATGGCGTATTTGCGTCTCATGTTTCTTGTCCTTGTCTTAGTATTTGCACTAATAAACTCAACTTCACTGCAATGTTTTGTGTATGCTTGACCATGTAATGTCTCTGGATTGCAGCGAAGCTCACTTTTGACAACTGCTGCAGCTGCAAGTGGATTCATAGCTAAGACTTGCGCAACAAAAATAAGGATGAAAAGAGATAGACACCACGGGTGTCTGTTTCTTCTCATCAGTGCTTTTGTTGCAGAAGTCTTAGCTACGAATCAGTACCAACTCGCCCAACTTTCAATACTCTTGGAAGTAGATCGTTAAGTGCAAGCGGTAGTTCGAGGCTATGCTCGAGTAGTTCGAGCACAGGTAGTTCGAGGCTATCAGTGATATGAGGCGGTGCTGGAGGTTTTGACAGTTGCTACTTTGAACCTGCAATTATAGCAGTAAATGAGAAAAACAAGATGAGGGAAGGTTTCAGCATTTCAAATTTCAGATGTCTTTAAACACAGGCTTCATAGCATGATGCCTTATTATTTTGAATTACCACACAATCAATAGCATATTGATTGTATTTGATACATCTGCCCTAAACATCCCACACGTGTTCATACTGTCAACTTAAGGTGATGTGGAGAGCTGTCCAGCAATGAATGGACAATGCTAACAGCACAAAACAAAAAGAAAGCAAACCTTCAAGATGAGACTATTAAAAAATGACTATATCTTTTGATGACTGTTAATAAAATTATTTTCAATACACTAGGCACCCACAGTGCACTAGTTTTGTTAGAAGTACTTATTAAAAATCATGTCTATAAAACGAACGAATAGGATAACCACTTGTTTAAAATCACACACAAAGTACTTTCTCTTTCAGTAGATGGGCTCAGAGTAGAGGTGCACAAACAGAGAATTTTGAACTTTGAAGCAAATTAAAGTAATCAATACCAAATGCAAATCGAATAGAATATTTTTAAATATAAATAACCCTACTGAATTTTACAAAAAAAATTTCTTTCTCACACACCAGACAAGAAAAAGTTTTTTTGCACAGCAAATAATATTAGGAAATTTATGCATTGGACAGCACTATTGCTTGAAATTATTACACACACAATAACTTAATGTTGTGATGAAAGACAAAGAGCTGCGTGATATGTTCGAGAAGCAGCGACCCAATTGTGCATGTTGCCGTTCCTGAAGACAATAAAAAGAGCCACACGCTGTACACACTAGTGCTGACACACTAATAGTATTGTTATTGTTTAATCGTGTGAGCATCTTTCTCATCTGAGGGGAGAAATGACAACAGATTGGTATGTTAATTTTAGTACATGCTTCATACTAAACAACCTAGAATAATGCCAGGTTTTGCTGTTTCTATATTTCTTATTTTTGCAATGATTTTTCTATTAGTTTCAGTGGTTTTGTTGAGCACAATTCTGGCACTCTTGCAATAACGTGGTCAGCCTCATACACAAGGCCAAACTCTGGCCGTTATACTGAAATACTGGCACATTATCAGCAAAAGTGCACTGAGCGAGGGGAAAGGGTGGGGGGATGTGACAATTGAAACTTATTGGTCTATTTGTGCAGAAATTTTAGCAAAATTTAGCACAGATTTAATGCTTTGTGTCGATTTCAGTAGTTGTTATGAAGCTTTGAGTTGTTCGAATATACCATTTCAAACAGTAAAGGTGTCTCATGAGTCTAATGCAATACTGAACTATGTGAATAAAATATTTGAAGTTTTGACTATATTGGCACACCCCTAGTTTATAGCCAAATTTTGGCATATCCGTGCTACTTGCCTGTTCTGTAAGGCATAACAGAAGCTTGAAATTCTGACACCTCAAGGAGATCAGGAACTCAATGGATACAATTTTTTTAAGAGCAGTAGTGCACATGTGGCTTTTTCCACGGTTTCCAATTTACACTTTACTGATAAAATGGCTCACAATCATTTAATTAGCTTTCCAAGGATCAATGTGGGAAGCTCCCAAGTGCATTTTATGGTAGTAATTGCTATTTTATACACTGACAATGAAGTTTGCAATGTTTTAAGAACAGCACTCCTTCTAAAGGGCTATATTTTGTTTTCAAGCCCCAAGGGCAGGGAAAAGGCGATGTTAGCCTGTCACTGTCTGCGCGTGCAATGAAGTAAATATTCTCAACTATGGTGTCAGTACAAAAAAGAAGGCGTTACATCCTCCACCAAAAGTATGCAGGACATGAAGTTTTCAAGAAAGATATATTCCCAATTCGTCTGGAAATAGAGCCTCCAATTACACTTCAACCACTTTATGAGAGACATACACTGGAAAGCATTTTTTTTTTCTTATGGTATGAGGTGTCTTTTGTAAGCAGAGTACCACGTATGTGTTTTCTAATCAACCTATATTTTGATGTATGCACACTGGTGCCTTATACACACAATGGTTTGTTAACTCTTATAAAGGAGCTTAACGTTAGACCGTACCATCCTGTAGTTGTTCTTCTAACCGATAGAGTTATCTGCTGGATTACAAGTATGATGCACAAACACAGCAGAAATTTGCATTGGTAGTAGTCCGTCCCATAAACTTTTGCTGCGGGGTGCACATGACATGCAGGAAAAGACACACAAAGCATGTCCATACTCAGTTTCACACATAATGTGCAACGTTGCAGAAGCTAATGAGACTTCTTGCAGTCGATGTATTTGCAAAAAAAAATTAGTTCAATGTTCTTACTACCAATATTTTAATTTTTCTTTCGTTATTATGGCGAGAAGCAATTAAATATATTAAGTGCCTTACAAACAAAAACACTGTTGAACGTCTGTTATTATGTGGCTGTATAGCATAGTTCTCATGTGACGTCACATACAGGCCTTCTACTCTGGGTACATCACGATAACGGCCACCTGTACTTTTAGTGTCAGTACAGAACAGGACACCACGGGGTCGTTCGGTACTCGCGTTATTTTGTGCTCACCCCGCTTTCTTCTGTTCGCCAGTCGCGCTAAAGGGGAGCACAAGGATACACGAGGGTGCACCGGCACTAATCAGATTTAACATGAGCTACCACGAAACCCGCGGAGTTATCATTTTCCTGGCCGAACTTCTTGCATAGCTTCCACAGCGTTGCACCTGATATATGAAACGGTGTAAGTAAACCAAGCTAACAACCATTTTGTTAACAGGTTATGCTTGCATTGAAGATTTAAAGTTACAAAAGATAGAATTAAGGCCTTGTTTATTCTAAAACATGTTTCGTCAAAAGGAAGTCCTTACCTCCATCAATATTACTGGTCTCATTAGGCTCCTTTTCTTGGTTCACATGTGTCAAAAAATTGAACACTGTGTGCTTGTCAACTGCCACAGTTTCCAGGCCAACTTTGCTGCAGCTTTGAGAAGAAAGAAATAAAAAAATAAAACTAAAGAGCCACAGGCATCATTGCTCAGGTCAAGAAGAAAGTAGCGGCCCTAAATACTTTGAATTGCGCACATGATCACACACTGGGGTCACAGCTGTGCTCAATGGCGAGTGTTGACCCACAGGTAACGGATCAAGTCCCGGCCGCGGTGGCCGCTTATTCAATGGAGGAGAAAATGCTTGAGGCCCGTGTACTTCGATTTAGGTGCATGATAAAGAATACCAGATTGTCGAAATTTCCGGAGTCTTGCACAATGGCGTCTCTCATAATCATATGGTGGTTTTTGGACATTGAACCACAGACATTAATATCTTTTGCTGAGACGTGCAGCAAGCCGCATAAGCAATGGTTGAATATTATCATCAATAAAAGGGACAAATACATTTGTGATGCACAAGTTTCTTTATCACAAAGAAACAGTGATTGATTGATTGATTGATATGTGGGGTTTAACGTCCCAAAACCACCATATGATTATGAGAGACGCCGTAGTGGAGGGCTCCGGAAATTTAGACCACCTGGGGTTCTTTAACGTGCGCCCAAATCTGAGCACACGGGCCTACAACATTTCCGCCTTCATCGGAAATGCAGCCGCCGCAGCCGAGATTTGAACCCGCGACCTGCGGGTCAGCAGCCGAGTACCTTAGCCACTAGACCACCGCGGCGGGGCAAAAAGAAACAGTGACTTCCTAGATAACATGCTATATGCTATAACAAAAGCTGCACTATTTGCCCGTGAAATAATTTTGTTTTAGACAAGTTTGTGGCAGTGCTATGTGCACAGTGATAAAATTAAACATTGATATAGTAAAACTGAATGCACATTAAAAATCTCTGTATAACGAAGCAATAACTACTATTATTCATGTGCATCCAGAGATGTCAGTGGTGCTACCGAGGTCTGATTCGAAGCAATTTAGGAGCAGCAAAATTTTCATTTTGGAGTAATCTGGAGCAGCTAACTTCAGATAGTGGAGGAGAAGCAGATTGTATTTATATTCAAGGACACGAAAAATTATTCTGAGACTCTTGTGAACAGCTAGAAATATTGAGATTCATTGAAAATTTCATAGAGCCTATCATCTTAGAAGCACTCCCTATATGAGTTGATGATGCAAGAATAATGGCGTCATGCTGTTGAGAATTCTAAAAAAACTTGTTTAGTGATTATTTCCATAGCAAATAAGCAGAATACTGGTTGAACAAAATTTTACTTCACGAAATAACAATATAAATACACCTATGTGGTCATCAGCAGTTATGGTAGACAAACGCTGTGACGTACAATGCTAGACTCACACAGTCCCAAGAGTATTTACCTAAGATGACTTCAAGAATAAAAAAAAAGGTTCTTTTTCTTCCCGACTGGTTAGACTGCTGGGTGCAATATGACATCATTCAGCTAGTCTCAGAAAGCCAACCTCCTCCAGCACTCATCTCTGTGCTGAAACTACACAATTTAATAAACTTCATTTTCCTTTTGTGGCAATATTTTATGTGGCTAGGGCATTCTGTCTACACTCCAAAAACCCCCTACCGTGTCCCCTAGAAAGCAGTGCATAAAAAAATCTCACAGGGTACCTTATGCATACGACTTAGAGAACTCTATGACAAGACTCGTTTTGTTTTATTGCGATAGCAATTATATGGACAGTTTCAGCCGGTTTTTGCCATCGTCGCCACTGTCACCGTGATGCACCGTATACGTATATATATATATATATGTGACGCTATGATGAATGGGAGACGTGGCCTGGCTCATACGCCATGTTTTTTCCATTCTGCTTCTTCCTCCTCTGCTTCTACCAACCATCACTTCATACGTCACACGATTCCCCCTCCCCCCGAAAGAATGCGCGAGCTGCAACCTAGAAGGCATGAACAAATGGAGTCTTATAATAAAAAAATAATGCCAGAAAATGCAGTAGTTCTATGCCACACGGCGGTTCCATGCACTTGCACAAAATGTTCACAGGAAAGGCAGTCCGGTGATATCTAGGTGACCTCAGGTGGGCGAGATTGGCTGTTGTGCCCTGGATAGCATAACCACACCCTGGAAATCTGAACTGATGATGACATCGGTTGACTTTTTGTGAAGAACGGACAAGGTTGGGAGTGCCTGTAGCATTTGAGGGCCGGATGTCGTAGGCACCAAGTTCTCCGTCGTAGACGCTGCTTTCTGTGTCGTGGTTGAGACAGAACGAGTGCTTGCAGCTTGCATGTGCGAGAACCGAAGCTGATGATACGATGCCTGTGTTCTTTCGTTGTACACGTTGTAGCTGCATATCTCTTTGGTAGCCTTCTGCGAATATGGCTTAGGCAATGACTTTGTCTTTGCTTCTTTAATTGCTGTTGTCTCCGATGACCTTTAGGCCACAAGTGTACTCGTGAGGAGGTTTCACTTGATTGTTGTTCTTGTTCGAGTAGCCGTTGTAGTTCCTGGAGTTCATGGAGTTGCCTTTGTTGAAATAGCTCGTCTTGTTGTGAAAGTTCGTCAGATGGGCCTCTTTCAGGAACATCAGTCTGCTTTTCTTTAGATGGTGATGTGATCATTAGATTGTCGGTTGTCGATACTGTATTGCTGGGCTGGTCTTGCGATGAAATCAGCGTGACAGGCTGGTGAGAAAGTTCCCAAGATGGTTGTGAGTCGTCCTTGATTGTAAATGTTTCTGTCAGTTCCCAATGCGCTGGCGTTGGTGGATTTGAAATTCCTGCAGTGCTTTGACTCACATGTGTGTCATCACTTGACGATGAGAGCACAACAGACATGGCTTTAGGTGGTTCTGATGGCATATGTTTTTCTTTTTGCAGCGTGATTGGGCTGAGAATGTCTGTCGAACGACCCTGGTCGGGAATGTCAGGGTGTGGGCTGGTATTGCGAGGATTCACCAGCTCGTCACACGTAAATTCCGTCGCACCTTCGGAACCGTTTGGGCCTTGTGTGTGACACGAAGCATCAAGTGATTCGAGTTGTTCAGTAATACCTGAAGTATTATGGTGCCGTAAATACATTGGAAATGCCGATTCATTTGCCCGTGAAAAATCCAACCGTAAGTCCGGTCTTTTGGCAAAATGGTCTACATTCCTATCGGCATACGGTGGCATTACCTTCTCTGCTGCGACGTGCAAGCCCCTCATTGGTGTTGTAATGCGTGAAGTGTATTTGGACGAGTCATACGATGGTACAATGGTAGAATATTTACTCTGAAGTCTTGTTTGGGAAATACGCTTACTGCGGGAAGACTTCGCGTAACTGTGATGGTTGAGTTGAAGAGACTTCAGCTGATGAGGAATGAACAGGTCTTCATCGTATTCTTTGAAACGAATGATCATTTCTTCTTTGATCTTTTTCCAAGACTCATCGTTCTCGAAGATGTGGGTGAGGTAAAATTTGAATGCCTCACCTGAGATGTAGTCAGTGAAGTTTATGATCATCTCCCGTTCCGACCATGATGCAGCGGTGGCATGGAGCTCGAACAGGTTGAACCAGTCCTGTACGGGTCCGTCGTCCGCTGATCCGGTGTACTTAGGGATGTCAAGATCTTCTGACGCTGCTGTCATGATGCTTGGTGGTCTTGGTGGTCCGCGTTCTTCTGTGGTCCGCGTTCAGTCACTGCGTCTCGCTGAGGTCTTCGATGATGATGGCTGGGCGATGAAGTGGTTGCGAGGTCTTCATCCTGTCGACTTGTGTGACGCTATGATGAATGGGAGACGTTGCCTGGCTCATACGCCATGTTTTTTCCATTCTGCTTCTTCCTCCTCTGCTTCTACCAACCATCACTTCATACGTCACATATATATATATATATACGCGGGCAACTTTTTTAATTTCTTGAGTTTTCATATATATATATATATATATATATATATATATATATATATATATATATATATATATATATATGAAAACTCAAGAAATTGAAAAAGTCGCCCGCGCTCGCCACCCAGCATGTCGTGATGCGTCAATGTGCGCTTATCTCCCACGCGTACTTTGCCCCGCGAATGGAGAAAGGGGGTTAGGTGCTTGTGCGTGCGCGCTTATCCTTCGGTGGGGAGAATCGTGCGCCTTCGACTTTCCCTAGAAAAATTGCGTTTAGTTGCCTGGCGCACAGAGATCACTTCGCTCGCTGGGCAAGCCCTCTTTGCGAAAAGAGCGTGCTTTTCAAACACAGCGAAGTAACAACTGGGACACTCTTTAGTTTGCACTAATATCTGCACCTGTAATTATGTTTTGTGCATCCTTTTTGTTTAAACAGCACATTAAGCATTGCGTTGAAAACATTGTTAGTTAGCTCTTGTCCTGTGTGTGTTGTTTTCATGTGTAATTTGTGTTTGGGCAGCACGCTGCATGTTTCGATCTGCTAGTCGTTCTCAGCATTATATTCCAAGTTGTTGCTATTGCATTGATTGCTTCACCCTCGCGGCGAAACTGTGACTTTTTAAATGGGATAGCAATTATATGGACATTCTCAACTGATTTTTGTCATTGCCAGGGGTGTAGCCAGAAAGTAAAAAAAGGGTGGGGGGGGAAGGGGGGTGCACCTTGATCTCAAGGAGGGGGCAGGCAAAAGGTCATTTTGCACTATATACGCCATGGAAGAAAACAATTTCGGAGGTGGAAGGAGGGCACATTCCCACTGTGCCCCACCCCCCTGGCTACGCCACTGGCTGTCATGTTTTGCGTAATATCCCAATTAATAAGATCCCCCAACGTATCGTGTTTTACATATGAGTAAAAGCGTGCGAGCGGGAGCGACAAGCGCAACTAAAGCAGACATAAGGAGAGCCGGCCTATCTTTTTTTGCACTGAGGGCGGCTACAATATCACCACCCTACATGCCTGGCCTTCCATCAATTGTTACTCAAGCAGAGAAGAACATACCGCCTATGTCCAAGGGGCACGAAGGATCAAGCTAAAAACGCGAGGGGGAGCCATTATTATGAACTTCAAGCAATGCAGCAACCTCCCC